AACAACTTACTTCCGAACTCGAAAGAGTTCTTTGATATGTAGGGCAAATCCAGCCATATCCGTGGCAAATTCTCGACGTGGAGCAAACAAAACATCCCAGGCTTCGATTCGGCCATTTTTGCCCACTTTTGGGGCTTCAACCCAAGCTCCACCGACGAGACCTTAACCAGTCATTATCACAATAGCGCTAGTACTAATTTATAAATAATGATTTCCAAATAACACATGCATATACCTTTAATATCATTGCTCATCTACACTTTTAGAATATTGACACTAGCACTCAAATAAATATCGATTATTATTCACTACCCGTACCAATAGTAACTGTTATATCAGTATTAATATTAATATTATCAATATTATATTGATATTGGACCAAAACTAATACGGAGACTGGTGAAATCCATGCCAACACCAATGCTGTTTTCAATACTAATATTGCTACTATTACCAATCACTAATATTAGTTGTAGTACTAGTAGTAATGTTATTGAGATGATAACTAAAGTAATACGCCTTGAAAAAACTACTACTTGCTAGTACGTAAATAAATAAATAAATAAGTAAGTAAGTGATGATATTTGCCAATACCAATTCTGTGTAGTATTGAAAATACAATGTAAAGACCTAATACTAATTCTAGTACAGATACTAATACTAATATTAGCATTAGCATTAACACTAATACTAATACTGATTTTATTACTGATATAGTCACAAATTTATTATTAGTACGAACACTGGTTCCAATATTGATACTTATCCTGGTATGAACGGAATTGCTAATATTAATACTGATACAAGTTCTAATACCAATACTCTACTAATCTGATACTATTAATAATGCAATATCAGTACTAGCATCAATGTAATTGTGCTATTTGTAATAGTGCTGGTGCCATTAATAATTCTATACAATATTAACGCCACTAATGGCAATAGTACTATCATTGATATTAATGATAGTGCTATAATGCTGGCATTAATACGGCAACGGCTAGTAACGACATTTTGATTTGTAATCTTTTTACTAATATTAATATTAGCACTGAACCTAATTGGAACATAATGGTTATTTTATCTGCTTGGGATCTGCACTTCGAAATATATTTTTTTCCTATTTTAAAATTCCTGATAGTCCCTAATGTGGAATTCATTCAATTAAAATTGTATTCATTTTAATTAATTTTATATTGGGTGACTTTTGAAATGTACGATAAAAAAAGGAAATTGTGTAAAGCGATCTAGACAGAAAAGTTGGCGGAGAAAAGTTTCGTTTTGACCACCTTAAAATATAATCAGAGCAAGAAAGGAGAAGTGCATGAGTAGACCGAAGGGCTCAAGGGGGTAGAACGGAGGCGTTAAAAATGCAGCTAACCTACCCATTATTGTTGCATTATTAGGGTAAAAACTAGTGTTAATCCAGTGCTTAGTTAGAAAGTTAGTAAATAAGTAAATTATGGAAATATTCAACAAGAAAGTTTTGACGTCAAATATTCCGATTACATAAATCGACAGACCAAATTTGGATGAAAATATTTATTTTGACTACATATTTCATTGGCTAAACATAATATTTGGAAATACCAACCTACAGGCCAAACCCCCAAACGTTTCACATTCCTGATGCATTGGTCGAAGAGTCGTAGATCGTACGAGTTATCGTCGTCAGCAAAGTAGAGTACCGCTTCCGTATCAGG